TGCAAGCAAACGGATTTCGTGACCACGCTAGCTCTCCCCTGGTGAAGCTAGTGATTCCATTTTCCTCGGAACGGGTCACCTGAGCCTAAGGGCCTTCGACCGCTTTGAATATTTTGCCGTTAACATCGCACTTTGATTGTCTGCTATGTAGCCTGTGTATTTCACTAATTGTATGTAGACAGCTGAGGAGAATACGCGAAATTGCTGAATTCAGTAGACATCCTTTTTCTCTGCCGTTAGTACCTGTGTTTTCTTCTGAACGGATGCAGAGGACATTTATTCTTCACCAGCGGCGAACACTTTTGCGCGTCTGTTGAATGTCTTGAATTCGATCTACCCCAACTTGTCGGTCTCCCATGTGGTAGAACAACACGGTTGTCTACCGTTTTTTAGATATACTCATTTAGAGACGAGCCGAAGGTACATTGCAGCCCACGGTTCACCATTAATCGTCTTAGATTGGGCAGTACTTTCACTTTTCCAGCTTCGCCTCCGGCCTAGTGAAAACCATCTTTTGTATAGCTATATGTATCTGCAGCCCCGAAATCTTTAAAGGTGAAATGGAATTGCTACAGATATGGGTATCTTGAAGTTTATCCAGGTACACAGTAGGTCTCCCAGCAAGAAAATACCGGTGCTAACGATAGAGGAAAAGGATGTTGATTTGTTCTTGCCGTTCAGGGAGAATCATAGGGTAAATGATATCAGACGCAAGCTCCGGTGTGCCTTAACGCGCATCTACCTGACCGTCCAGTTGCGATTAATGCGTACCACGTGAAGCCCTGTTCTTCATAACCGTCTGCACGTCACGTCGGTGTCTCGCGCTGTTTATCAATTCATCTGCAGTCGCGGTGACACTTATATAGGCAGAACTCACCGTCACTTAGCTCAGAGGGTAGTCAAACATTTACCAAAGGGGTTGGGGCAGATGATGACGTCACAAAACGTAGCGGATCTGAGGGTTGATCGGAGCCCGGCATCGTCTCTCACCAATCGCTTCATGGTGACTCGTCATCATGTGAAGCCTGAGACCGCGTTCAACGTGTTATTGCGCAACGAAAACCGATAATGTTGTCAATTAGTGAGGTGTTGCTAATTAATGTCCATCAACCTGTGCTATGTGTACAGAAACTCTTGAGGTACTCCATTCGATTGCCTTGCTCTTGATTGTGACATTTTGATTGATGTTGCTTATTTTTCCATGTACATAACTGCTTCTCTGTTTCTGCTCGTATTGTGTTTGCGACTGATGAGAACAATCCAAATGTCGACTTATCGCAACTTATGTCTTCTGTCTGCATTAAAGACATCCGTCATGAATCTCACTGAGCCGTTAGCTGGATTGCAGCTGGTTCGGTGTTGCTCCTCCCAACACTGACACCTGGGTTCGTTCATTGAAGCGTTGAGGAAATGCAATTTTCCATAACGTGGAAACAGGGAGTATTCACTCCTATTTACAATAGGGGGAATCGTGCGGAGCCCTCTAACCACCGTCCAATTATTCTCCTTCCTGTTGCTATGGCAGGTGTTATCGTGGAGGCGAGCACGGGTACGTTGAAAGAAACTACAGTATAATGTCACAGCAGCACGAATTCCGTCTATATCGATCCTGCACTACAAACTTGTCGCTAACCCGAGCTTTCTGGACTGAATCAGTCAGTCCCAGAGTAAGGGTCAATCTCGTATACCTGAACTTCTCTAAGGCGTTCGATCGCCTGGACTACCGCATTCTTCTTCTTCTTCACAAACTTCAAAGATATGGAATCGGTGTCCATTTGCTATGTTGAATAAGCAACTTCTTAGTTCAACTTCAGCTGAATGTAAAATTCTGCAACCCCGTTTTCGACCCAATTGGAGTCCAGTGTGATGTGTTCCAAGGATCGACACTGGGTCCACGTTAATTTCTACTATTCATCAACGATCTTGCTAATGAGCTCAGTCGCAGACGCGTCAAGAGTTGGCTTGACATCAAGACAATGGACGACCATGTGACACTGCAGAGCGATTTTGACAGAATGTGTGTATGGTCATCCAACGACCGCCTCCATCTTAACTTGGCGAGGTACAAAGTTCTTAGCATGCGACATTCATGTACGCATGAATATTGACTGCGAGAGCTGCAATCACCACATGCTACACAGGAAAATGACCTAGGGCTAATCGTGCGAGACGACATTGGCTGCTCGTTACATGCTGAAAAGGCATCGAGAAGAGCCACTGAGCACCTTGGCCTATGAAGGGAGTTTGGGAAGCTCGAATCGTTTGTTTCCTCGAATGCTTAACGCCTACGGGAGGCCTCACGTGGAATACGCGATCCTCGCCTGGTGGCCTTGGCGCCAACTTGATGTGGATGCACTTTAAACGCCACAACTTTGGGCAACGAAAATCGTTAGACGACTGTATCACTTTCCCTACCAACGCTGACTGCGAGCGTTAGGCTTATGCAGCGGTGAATATCAGCGCCTGTGAGGAGACCTTATCATGGTTTGCCTAATACCGACAAGTCCAAGTCAAGCCTGCTGTAACCCAGCCATAATACCAATGTGAGAGGCCATCAGCTCCAACTGGCTACGTACTACAGTCAACACCATTGCCGACAAAACATTTTCTACCTTCAGGTATCCAGAACCTAGAACGCCCACGTTATTTGTGCTCCCACGATAGCGCTTTTCAAAAAATATTCGGACTGCACTATCTCATTTACGTTACGCGACATAGTCCGTTACCATCGGAAGACGAAATAGCCTAAACCAAGCAGTGTGTTCGCCATCCCTCTCCTCTATGTAGCAATGAGGAGACCAGCTTGAGTGTTCACGTGAATAACTTGATCGCTCGCCGTAAACGCGAACTTTTCCTTTTTTCCTGTCATTTATTTACTTTATTTTATGCTCATCACTCCTTGACTTGTCGAACAACCGATTTATTGCTCGTTATAGATCATTGTTCCTGGCTGAAAGTGCGCCTCGTTAAGAGAATGAATGTGCTGGTTTCAAACTAGGGGATATCAGTGGCTAATTATGACCGATTCAATCGATTTTTATAGTTTTCGACCCAAGCGTTTTAACAGCTTATGCATAGACTGTCCCCTCTCGTCCCATATACTATCCGTAACACCAGTTCTCCTGCTGAACGTTTACGGTATCGGACAGAATAACCGATGGTTACCAAGCTCCGCGGCCGCTTCCATCTTTGACTTACGACGAGACCACCAATCTTCGCAATTTCGACTCAGCCTCCCACGCACTTTGCCCCTGAGCTAACCCTACAGTTTGTATACGCATAGGCAGCAGTGGCACACAGGCACCTGTTGGCCATGCGCGACTTCGAAGGTTTGAACGAGCCAGTCATTCGGTTGGCGCACATCCGCCTGCTGCTTGGGACACAGTCGACGAGAGCAGCTTCGGCATAGGGCCTAAGGGCAATACACATACCGATTCGACCGACATTCGAGGCTGAATTATCTCCGTATATACTCAGTGAGAAGGTATCGTAGTGTGAACGCAGAACTTGGGTCTTGCAGGCGGCTTCCGGTAGGCGGTATATATCAATCGATGGGCAAGTGGTCTGTTGACCAATCGGTAACATGGTTCTTGCATTGAGGCATGTTAGTCTTAGGGATAGTCGAAGGCTCCAAATAGAACCATATAAACTGATCTTGTCCACATGATTGGGCACGGACTTGTGGACAGATCAGAATTGACGCTCCGCATTTGCATTTGAGTCGAGACTAGAGGACAAATGCCTATCAATGCAAGTTTCAGGATGACCAAGGATGGGGAGCTGAAAACTGGCGGACGAAAGTGAAGTTGAAACGAAACTATGAGGATGAAAAACTTGATAGTGGAATATGGAAAGGAGAGGGCGTGAGCAGTTGCATCCTTATCCTATTCAACCCGCTCGATGCAGCAGCTAGGGTGACATTTCTTGTCCTCTGTGACGGCCAGATCTTCAATAAATAGTTTAAAGAACAGTTCCTTGTATTGCCAAGTTACCCAGGCGTCGCCAGGCGAACGGTTAAGTTTCTCATACAAAGTCTGGTTCAAAAATGGCTGTAGGACCTCAGGGGTTTGGCAACGGGCTACAGTGAGTCTGTTTGAAGGAATAAGGAGTCACCTTTACTCCAACTCCCAACCTGTAGAATCAGGAGACTGGTTTTGTCTGGCCTCTAACCATTGAGCTACCTGGTATGAATGACTGAAAGTTCCTGATGCACCACCCAGCACAACTCATTGGATCGCCGAGGTACGCGAACCAACGCACCACGGCAAGGCCCAATCTCATTGCGACGACATAATGCGCTTAATCACACTTTAGGGTCCAGATCACGGTAGTTATGTTTTATATTCATGTGCCTAATCCTTTTGCACATTCGGATACACGCGCTTCTGCTTCATCCCTTTCGAGCTAAGTGTTCTCTTCATCAGTCACCTAGGATTGGAGCACATATTACTATATATACTATCTATGCTTTTCTGTCTGTATAATGGCTTGATGTTAGTCCAACCAAGCTCAGGTTACTGAAGTTACTTTGCTTTATTGCCGGAGTGTCACTCACACTTGAGGCACTGTGATCTACTTGGTCTCACGGAGACACATTATTTGGTGTCGTCGGTTCACCACACCTTGGCATTCGGTGTGCGTACCCACGGTAACAATCAACGACTTCAATACCAGTCGAAGGTTACTTTGACTTTTCAGCGAGCACATAATGCAACAGCCAAGATGGGTTAGCTGCCAAATTACCTTAATGTATTCCAGGGATGTTTCAATATCTCATCGGACTTCTATCGACTTCTTAAACCAGTCTATCTTATGTTTTATCTCTTTCACCGTGTGCTTGCTTGATTAGGATATACACGAAGCATCAAGCGCCCTTCGTGTATATAGGCATTATAGTCTGTTATGGGAGACGATTGTGGTGTCAGCTCTCTTTTTAATGTATGTTTTTTCCGTTGGGTTTATAGCTGACACTCGTCCGTTTGTTTTTGCTTGCTTTCAAGGTTCTTCACGGTCTACTCGAAATCGGAGGCAGCATTCTCATGCGACTGTACGGAGTGCAATTTGACAAATTGTTACTGTGCATCGCTTCCATCATCCATTCCTCTGTTACTCTGTCACAGTCCAGTCCGGAGATTGCACTACTCTCCACCATTGACTCTCTCCGACAAAGATAGCACTTTCTGCACCTTCCAATCTCTGTTTTCTGACTTAGATCTCCCACTTACATTACTTTGCAATCGCTACTTTTTGATACACGATGTGTTTGATAAAGCATTTACAAATGCGCTGCATGACAATCACTACCTCCAGTGGTTATACGCCAGTGGTTTGCTTCGACGCTTCGCTTTCGTCAGCAATATGTATCCTGTCAGCGATGAGACCTAGAGTTGTAAAACCTTGGTGCCTCATACAAACATTCCACATCATGATGTTTACTTTTTACCAGTGTCGCACGGCTGTCATGGGAAGGTAAGGCGGATATTCATGAAACCGTCATGCGACTGCTAGTGTCCCGCATTAATATAACTTTGTTTCGGCAAGAGGGAATTTGAACCTCATCTACTGGTCCTGACTTGTCTTGGCCATTTACTCCCGCTAATTAACCATTCATCCGCGGTGCCCAATGACGCTGCACAAAACGTGCTCTATCGGATTTGGATGGAAACACGTTTTCCGCATCGAGTTATCGAATGAGGGAACTCGCTTCAAATTACCTTGGTAGAGACACAAAACCTTTTGTTTCTCCTAATTGACTTTTTTCGCTTTCAGTTTTCTTTTAATTTTTTTCATATATTGGTTTTATAATTTTCTAGTTGCATTTCTCTTCTTGTCTTCTGATTTTACTGTTTCCTATTTTTTGACTTTATCTATCCGACCGGGACCGCTAGTCCCGGACACGTAGGCATTCGTTTTTTAACCAGAGTGTGGTTCTGTTATAGTAACTGGTCGTCTAAGCAAATCTGGTTGTAGGCAAGCAGGCCAGTCAGCCTTTTTCAACAATAACTGCTCACGCGTGGCCGAGACAGGAAAAAGAATCTTGATCGTCCCAACCTAGAAGGAACAAAGTACAGCTTTTCCACGAACAGACGCGAAGTGGGTTGGCTGGACCAGCCGCGGGCCGGAGAGACAAAGTAGAACTGGCGCACCTAAGCATGACTTGTGGGCAACAATACAGATGGAGCATAAACCGGTTGTAGAGAGCAGAGCATGCTGACCAATGGACGAACATCGACCGTTTAAGTGACGAAAAGTGGAAGATAACCAAATTGAAGACGTCGTGATCACATGTCACTTCCCACATATGTACAATATAAACGATACTTTGCTTTACAAACGGATTTTGACCGTTACATGAACTTTGTTTTGACCCTTCGTGACAGGAGCAAAAACCAACAAACCGGACCCCGCTTGCCGTCGATTCCACTGCCGGCTGCTCTGCTGATGACGGGAAGCACGCTGCCGGACTACTGGAGGATTGGGAAGGTGAAGTGGACGGAATTCCTTACGCTGACACTACTAGATGCCCATCGGATGCCATACCAACCGTCCATGTTCCAATACTGTTACGCCGAAACGGAAACCGATAGCGTAGCTGTGTAAGAAGACGGTTCTTCGCGTAAACGGCAAGAACAACAGTGCACCCAAAAGGAAGCGCAAAGCAGTCGAAAGTTACGTGCGTCACATGGTGGCTGATTAAAAATCGCCAGTCAATCACTGTGGCAGACGATCAATATTCGGAGGACACATACGCGGCGATCGCTCGGCACAGCGTATCACCCCTCCCCTCTGTGCTTTGGGCTATCCGGCTTGGGATGGATCCACTGGTTTGCGTTGGTTAGTAGAGCGAGATAGAGGCATTCGGTACGGTGATTCATTATTGGCCACCTTCGAATGGATCAGCGCTGCTCTCTGCACTTCTCCTCCGCTTGTTTCTGAGGTCGACGGTCTCGGTCTCACGTAGTGTAAATAGCGTCTGATAATTTTGCTATCCTCACTCTCCTTCAACGATTTCCCGTTGGCCGTTTTAACAACGACCGGTTGCCACCCGAAATCTGTAGGTAAGTGGACATAGATGAAATCAGATTATTCTACAAGTATGTTTCTACTGCCGATGTCAGAGCGTTCCTTCTCCCCATTTTGTTTTTCGCAACCCTCCGAACCAAGGATACTGTGCAATAAATGCAACGGTGTACGCAACCGACGGCCGAAGGTTAATTCCGTGGGCTTCTTCCGGTGGTTGTATATGCCATCTTTCGATAAGCGAAAATGGCACTGTATAGATGCACATGCAGTGGGGCTGCTAATTGCTTCGATAACATATTCTCCCATTTCTGCACAGCTCTCGACCAAACGTTGATAAGACGTCCCAGTTACATGTGTAAACACATTCCGCACTGGTGCTTGCTGTTGTATTATCTGCCACTAGTGTTTCCGGAAGCTCGAAGGTTGCAAACGTCGTACGCAATTTAACTATTGTGTTGGCTAGATTTGCTGTAATCAGGACGTGGGCATCAATCCACTTAGAATGCGGATCAGTGATCAACAAGATCATCTGACCGAAAGGGCCGAAAAAGTCTACATGAATACGTTCCTATGACGCTTTTGGCCACTTCCATGGCTGCGGTGGTACATTGGACACAGCGTTCCAATTCGCCTGACAAAGCACGCAACCAACTTTCGACACAGTGTCCCTGTGTGAATCGGGCCACCATACATAGAAGTGGAATAGCGACTCCAGGGTGTGCACCATGCAGTTCATCCAAGATAGCTGTTCGCAGCTTTCTGGGGACTGTAACCTTGGCTCCCCACAATACACATCGTCTATACTGAGTGTGGTCAGTATTTAGTGTGTTCCTTGCTCATGATTTCTGGCCGCCCGGCCTGAACGTAGCTTTTCATGATCGCTAAAATAAGTCTGTCGCTTTCTCGGCGTATGTCTGTTGAGGCGACGGGAAAATTGTTACGGTGCTGAATCAGATTCACGAGTTCCTGTGGTGCAAATTTTTCCGAAGTATTTTTGGCAAAGTAATTTATCTGAGGGCATGAGCAGTGGTATTTTGCCGCCCAGGGACGTGTTGAATTTTGTATATGTATACATAGAGTATCAAAGTCCAACGGACATATTTGGGTGAGGCCATTTACCACATCCCTTTTTCATGGTTAAAATATGATACAAGTAGTTTATGATCTGTGTACCTCGCAGAAGGTCGACCGAGTAGGTATTGATGAATTCGAATAGTACCGAAATCAACCGCGGCTGCCTCGATCAAACTGAGAGTAACTTCTACTGTTGAGGTTCGTGAAGCATAAGCAACAGGTCCATGAGATCCGTGTATTAATGCAGCTCCAAGGACGTAAGATGAAGCATCACAAGAAATAAAAGTAAGCTTCCTTGGGTTATTTCTTAACGTGTGCATGCATTTTGGATGAAGCACTGCGACAGTTATCTTCCAAAGTACTATTAACTCACTGGTGAAACATATAACTAATACATCGCTTAGGTGACACCTTGGTCGCTGGACGCACCAATGATGAACACTTACACAACTTAGATGTAGTTCTGCAAGGATTTTCAGAATCTGGACTTGTTTTTAATGAAGTGTGAATTCTTTGTCCGAAGTGTACTTTGCCATGGATATCGGTTGTCGCCAGATGGGTTACGTTTATCAGAGAAAAAATGTGAACGAGTTGCGGTCGTTCTTGGGAGCGGTCACACAGTATTCCAGATTCATGCCATCAGCGCCAACTTAATCACACTCGCTTCATCAGCTCTTATGCAAAAACCAAACTTGGATGGTGGTTTAGGCTATTACGAGAAACGTCTCTGTTTGAATCACAAATAATGAAGTACCATCCACTTATCGCAACTGAACGGGATATCCGTTCTCTTGAAATATCCGGAAGAAACGATGTTTCTCTTCGTCCAGCGTCTCTGGGCTGCAGATTCTGGCGGCACGGTAATGTAAGCAACACACTAAGTTCCGCTTGTGTTGCAAAGGCACAAAGCTTAAAAGGTGTATGTATGGCCCATTCGTGTCGGCTTGCGGGAAACGTTTCTCTCCGTCGCCTCAGCACCACGTCCAAAAGGACCAGTCTTCCATCGCTTTCCATTTCACTAGTGAAATATAACGCCGGATGTGTGTTGTTGAATTGAGCTAAGAGACGATAAACGTCTCTGTTTGAATCACAAACAATGGAAGTGTTATCCACTTATCGCAAATACGAACCAAACGTTGAGATAACCGGTCGCAAAGGTCTCCGTTCAAGTTTCGCCAGGAAAATGTCAGCAAGGAGCGGTCCTAGGGAGGACCCCATCGCCACACCGTCAATTCGCCTGTAACAGATTCCATGTAATAAGAATTGCATGTTAAAAGTGCATCGTAAAATAATTTCCTTTATTGTGCTTGGCGGAATCCCGAGGTCTATATTCTTGGTGGTAATGTAAGCATAAAGAAAATTGACGGTTTCTAGCAGTGGGACGTTGGTGAAGAGTGATTCAACCTCGAATGAAAGCATGAGTTTGCCACGCACGTTCAGGTTCTCTACGTGCTTCACGAATTCAAGAATCTTTTAGTGAGTGAGTAGAAAGTTCCTTGCGTACTGGCTCCAACACTTCCACTAGCCACTTCGCGACGAAGTGGAAGGCGAAAGAGGACATGTCAATAATCGGGCGTAGAGGTACGTTTACCTTGTGCACTATCGGAAGTCCGTCTAGTCTAGGAGGATGCGACCCTACTGGATTTAACCGATCAAGTATGGAGTCGGTTACCAAATTCGTTTGTCAACTTCTTCAGCCATTTGGCGATCTTGGCCTCATCCTGTGCGGATTTGTCTTTTTGAACTACATCGCTTGGAAATTTGCTCGGATCTTTCAAAATAGAAGCTTGGAAACGTAGTCCGACGTATTCATTAATACCCAACCAGAACCTTTGTCTGGTCTGGAAAGTATCAGTTCAGGATTTGCTCTCAATTCTTTGACGGCGTCTCTGTGTTTCTTAGACAAGATGTTCGATACTTTCGCTTCACAACTTAAATATTATTGGGCGAGGTGAACCAGTGTGGTTTTGAAGGTATCACTTGCATGCGAAGATGTGTGCGTCAGTTCAGTTAGTTGATGCATTAGGTGTTTCGATATGCATTTGCCCATTAGCAGGTTGTGTAAAGCAAAATTTTGGTCCAAGGGACAAAGCCTCTAATTGTAGCTGATTAAGTCATGGACATGTCTTTCCGGGTGCTGCGGAAATTTTTTCCGGTTGCATCGGTTGCATATCCTCTAACAATTTAGCGTACTTTTCCCCCCGTCTTCGCAAACTCCTTGCACGTATTGCTCGAATGATTCGCGTTTTATAGTATCAAGCTGAGCGGTAACAGGAACATCGCCGCTCTAGCTTTGGGATTTGCGATTGCACAGATTCTGTCAAATCG